TTTTTTTTAAAATATTTTTAAGAAACGTTAATCGATGTTACTTTTGTATAGGGGGTCTACAGTTCAGGTAAAAGGTGACAGGCTTTTCTAACGTATTTGAATGATTATGTTAGTTGTGTTAATCGCCGCTCTTGGGTGGAGTTTTCTTTTTTTTTTTTTTGGTTTTGTATTGGTTATTTGAGTTGATTAGGTGTGGGAGAGGCATCTTTGGGGGTTTTTTGTGTGGCATTTTTGTTTGATAAAAAATCTGTGGTGGCCTGACAGCCTATTAAATTCGTTGTGATATGCACTAGAAAGCATTTTTCTGGTCGTTCGTGTGCGGGTAGTTTCGTTTTCCGCTTCATTCGATTGATTTTTCGTCAACTGCTGTTTTTTTTTTTCTTTAATATGTTCATGATATATGAAATTTGAAATTTATTTGCCGAATTTGTTTCTACTTTTGATGTATGTTGTCGTATGGTTTTGTCAGTTATATGTTTTTTTTTTTCCAGCTATTTAATCATAACGCTTTTGCTTGGAACTGAAAATGTCGGACAAGGTTAATATGTCTCTTGGTGAGTTCTTTACGGTGTTTTGCCGTTGGATTCTTTATTTTATCAGTTGTACTTGCAATATTTACTCAAGTGGTGAAGCCACCGCATCATTTTCTTCGCGTTATTTGTAGTTGTTTATTGACCTATTAATCATTCTGCTGATTACTTTATCTAACTTTAGATTAGTTCCACGTGATGTTTTTTAAATTCCCTAAACGTTGTGTTTCAGATGATATCATTAAAAGCGAGCGGAAAAATAAGAAAGTTAAGGGGATTATTGGCAAAAAACGAGGAATTAAGAACGCTAAGGTGCTACAAAATCTAAATCTGTTTCTGTTTATTACCAGTTTATCACAGCTTTAGCGGGCTATTTCTGTTGCTGCCAGTTTTTTGTTGTTTTTCAAGAGTAACTTTTTGAGTTTTAGAAGGGGAAGACTGTTATTCGAGTTGGTAGAGGTAACAACCGCGATAAGGTTAAATTGAATGCTGCGACTGTCAAAGCGGTTAACAGACTTGTAAAGGTTAGACTTTCAAGAGCTACTATGTCCATAGTTTCTTGTGAAATTTTTCCATACCGTCTTGCTCCAAAAGCACAGTTAGTGGTTGGGTGTGTTTTCAGAAAGCTATATCGCAGCGTGCAAATCAACGACTGATCCAACGTGCGGTCACTCGCCGTACAGTGGCTGCCCGCAGAATATTGGCCACACGGCCTGTCGTACGTACACCTTCTTTTTCATTTTGACGCTGCCTCACTGCAGCCGCTCTTCACACATTGAAAAAGTTACGACGTAAAGGTGGAATAAGTTGGTGTGGAGGATCAGTTTGTGTGCATCCTGGCAGATCAACTGTTCAGTTCCAGTGAAGAAAAAAGGCTTTTTGACAAAAAATTAAATTAAATTAAAGTATAGAAAAGTGATTATGGATGTAAATGTCATGATGGCTGGCATGCGGCTGAGTTGTGTTAATGAGGCACTCAAATCGAACAGAGGATTTTTGGGGAAAGTCATTATCAGGTCTAAGTGATTAGTTTTGGCCCTGTTGTCACAAAATGGTATTTGGCCGGATAGTTTTTACATCTGTAAGTTCGTCACAACTTCATCAGGATCTTGTTATGTTGGCTTCATTGGCGGACAGTTTTTATTGGTGCCAGCCAACGGTGAGAAGTTTTTGATTTTTCTAAATACAAAGTTTGGATTTCATAGTCAAATTACAGACAAAATTATTTCCCTGCTTAGTATTTAAAAAATTTTCCTTGTATTCGGGCGCTTTGTAAATTATTGGTGTTGATTTTGGTCAAAGCAAGTATCGCGTTTGAGCCTGCTTCAGATGCCTTCAGCCAATTATCCTTATGATAGAAGTGTTCGATGAGATGTGTGAAGGGCGGTATGGTTTTCAAGGAGTCGTATCACCGGGCTTTTTCATTCTGTTGACATTTCCGTTATTCTCTGAAACTCACAAGTTGTTGTTCGAGTAGTTCCTGTCGATTTTTTAGTCCCAGTTCAGTGGTAAGTTCTTCATTTTGGTTCGTCTGTTTCGACAGTCGCATTTTTAGGGGTTTCGGGCACGTCGTTCGTTTAATTTCGCTGCTCCATTAGTAACAAGTCGTCTTCGTCGAGTGAATACTAGGTCCCGCGTAATTATGGGCCCAGCGGCAAGACGTGTGAAGCAAGAAGAACCAATTGTTTTGTCAAGCAATGTCAAGGTGTTTTACTTATGTCCTGTTTTTATTGAGGTTTTTTATGTGATTTTTGACCAGTATATTGGCTTTCTATTATAGAGTGTTCGAGGCCGAGGCACGGCGAGATTGGGTCAGCTAGTAAGCGATGAGACGCCAGTATATGTTAAGCGCGAAGTGTAAGTGCAGGGCGATTACTTCGCTTTAGATATTAATCGGAACTTTTTGCATCATTTTCTGTCTCCTTAATTTTTATTTTGATGTTGACAGAAGTTAACTAGTGTTTTCCTGCAGGCTTCCTGTTGTTGAAGAAGAGGTTGTCGAAGAGGTTCCCAGATCATTCCAGTTTCCTCGTCGACGGCAAGTTGTTGTACAACAACGACGTCGTCCGGTTATTGTGCAACGGCGTGTGGCCAGTAGGCCGATTGTTACTTATGTTCCAATGAGGGGTAATCGAAGGATCACAAAAAGGCGATTTGTCACTGTAAGTTTCAGAAGATGTTTAGATCATTATTGTTTTGTTTTCTTACGTCCTAAGATCGCTTTCATTTTTTTAAGAGGGATAGTGAACCAGTCTTCCAAAGAGTTAGGCAAGGGAAACAAGTGTTCGTCAATCCGAATGCAGCACAGATGCGGGCTGCACTTGGTATTGGAAAACCAGTTGAAAGGGTAACTTTGGTTTTTGTCACTTTCGATTTTAATTTCTGCATCCAATCTTTGTTACAGTTTTTTGGATGTGTTCGTTGCTGTTCGTCAATTTTTGAAACGTGGCTTTC